TAATTATGAAAGCTTGACCTTATCTTAGACTATTTTCAACTGTCTCCCGTAAGAACCCATTTCTATTAATTTACATTCTGCTGTGTACTGCCCATCCTGCTTCCTCTGGCATCTTCTCTGTGTGCCTAGATTCATCCCCAGTTTCTCTCTTTGCCTGGAAGTCCTGCCTATTTTCCCTGCCTAGCTATTGGCTGTTGAGCTTTTTATTACACCAATCACAGCAATACACCTTCACACCGTGTACAAATATAACAACTGGCACACATAAATTTTTGTGTGTGTAATTTAAAAGAGCACTGGTTGCTCTTGTAGTGGATCCAGGTTTGGTTCCCACCCACCTGCATAGTGGCTCACAGTCACCCTTAACTTCAATTCCAGCACATCTGACAGGCTGTTTTGGTTTTTGAGAACACCAAGCACACACATGTTACACATACATACATGTCAGCAAAGCATACATTTAAAAATATCTTTTTTTAAAGTTTAATGGAAATATGCAAGAGTTGGAAATCACAGAGCTGACATCCAAACTGTCAAAGGCCATAAGTTATAATGTGAATAGTTACTTGTATTTTAAACCTGTAATATCAGCACTTAGTAGATAGAGGCAGAAGAATCATGAGTTCTAAACCAGACTGGGCTACATAGTGAGACCTCTCAAAAAGGAGGGAGGGAAGGGCTTGGGGGATGTCTTAGCAAGTAAGAGTGCTTATTGAGCAAACTGGGTGGAATTGCATAATCACCTGTAGCCACAGTACGGAGGGGGATAGAGACAGGGAAAGTAGGGTTAGTAATATTGAGGAAGAGAGCTATGATGGCTTGCAGCTGGATATGAGGCAGCAAAACTAACTAGATAACCAGGAAAACCAGGTACTCTGGTGTAAGCATTGCAGCTCTGATAGAAAGGTATCCTGGTGGCCAGGAGCCAAGGAATACCACAAAGTCACCCTAAAGCATAGCATCTTACAACTCTGCTCCAGGGAAAGGTTTCCCCAATGCAAGTATAGCAACTCTGCTATGGCAATGGAGGGTTTCCCCCAATGAAGTGTTATGCCTCTGCTCCAGAGACGTGTTACAGCTCTGCTCTGCTAAGGGAAAGTTTCCCCAGCAAAAGTGTTCCAGTTCTGTTCTGATCTGCTCCCTCTGAAATTGTTACAGCTGGGCTCCACTCGTAGGAAAATGTTACACTGCACAACAAACCACACTATTTATTAGGAAGGAAGAATCCAAGAGGGTGGTTGCTTCAGGTGAGAAACAGTGGCAAACTAAACAGAGTACAGACCTTATATAGGATTTCTTGGTGTGGGGATGTGGCTTTCCAGGGTGGCTTGGGATTGGTGATTTTTGTAGACTGATTCTGAGGCAAGCTCAGGGATTGGTAAAATTCTGCAACCTGACTCTGGGGCAAGCTCAGGATTGGTGGGATTTTAAGCCCTGGTCCTGGGATCAAGTCAGGGTCAGGTCTTGGGTCTAGTCAGGGACCGGGTGTTTTTTCCTTGGTCTCTTTTACCCTACATCTGGGAAGCAAGTTGATGTTTGCAAGTTGGCTGGCCAGCTCTATGAAGCCATGGAAGACATACACGAGGCATGGTTCTTTCAAACTTTTGCTTCTAATGCCACTAAATGTAATAGACTGAACTTTAGGTGAGGACAGTTTTACCAAGAAACCTCCAGAGGACACCACCCCATAGACAATGAGCTAGTGTGTGGTAATCAAAAAGGACTGTGGCTATGTCTTGATAAGTTCTTGGTAAGTGATAGGAGTCACTTCTCACCCTGCTAAAACATACAAACCAAGAGAACGGATGATCAGTTACAGACCCCACCCAGGTCAGATCAGCAACACCTGCAAGGTTGGCAGAGCTGGCAATGTTGGGCCAGGCTAACAGCCAACAAACCAGCCAAATGCAACAAAGCAAGTCAGAAATGAACAGAGGGCTTCAGGGGGTGACCACGCCCCTCTCTGAATGGGCCAGAAGAGCATGCACAGACTATGTACACCTTTAATTGGTCTAGTCCCTGATGTGTGGAGAGAATCAACCAATTGCAATAGGATTTTTTTTTTTTTTATGTATACAACATTCTGCTTCCATGTATATCTGCATACCAGAAGAGGGCACCAGATCTCATAAGGGATGGTTGTGAGCCACCATGTGGTTGCTGGGAATTGAACTCAGGACCTCTGGAAGAGCAGTCAGTGCTCTTAACCTCTGTGCCATCTCTCCAGCCCCGGATTCTTTGTTTTTTGAGACAGGATTTCTCAGTGTAGCCCTGGCTGTCTCTCACTCTGCAGACCAGGCTGGTCTTGAACTCAGAGATCACCTGCCTCTGCTTCCCAAGTGCTGGGATTAAAGGTGTGTGCTGACGGGCCCAGGTAAGATTCTCAGTATCTGTCCAGTTTCTACTCTAAATCCTATAAAAAGGCCCTAGACAACAAACCAGTTCTATGTTTATTCTTTTCTTGGGAACCCTTCCACTTGCTCTTCCCTAGTTTCTCACTTTGATTTCTCCCAAGAAAGATTGCTTTCGCTTTGCATGTTTAATCTTCATCATTGTGAAAGAATTAAAGAGGCACAGCCATGCATTAACTTTTGCTGGATGTTGAGTTTGTGGAACCCCAAGTATTGGATCACACCTATCTGGGCGGAGAAAGGTCCCACTGACCTCAAAATTACATCACATTGAAAATTACTAAGTATGGGTAAACCTCAATCTCCTAAATTTTACACTAAAGATCACTTTCCTTCTTGAAGTAAATAATTCAGCTACAACACAAGTGGTTTAAATATAAATTTAGCACCCCAGTGAGGTGGAGGTGTGTGGGTTGACTGAACAGGGAGGGATCAGCCCACTGGATTACGTGCTGGGGATTTGACAAGGTTTTGTCAATTTTGTGAAATGAATTTAATGATTATAGGGGTGAAGTGTCTCTCCCCAAACATCATGCACCTGATCTCTCCTTTTCTTATAATTTTCCCTGTAATATTCTAGAAAAGCCTACAAGAAAAGGGCTGTCAAAACCACAATGTAAATAAAGAATTGCATGAAGTCAGAATTGTGATGAGGTCCTGTTTACAGATCCATTGTAACTGTGCCAGAGTAACAATTGGAAAAGTGCCTGGTGCTTTCATTCTTGATCTATCAGGGAGAACCAAAGTTGCAGCATCAAGGATGTTTAACCACACAGGGGAGCCTCACTGACAGGAGACAGCTACCAAGACAGCAGTTTCCTTTGTTACATCACATTGAACTCCCTACTTTCCAGCCTCACCAGGAGATGTTAAGTAGATTAATATAAATGTTCACACAAATCTGTTATTGATTACAGATTAATAATTATATTTAAATAAGCTTAAAAATAATATAGTTACCCTTGCTACTCAACTTTAGTCATAAATATATTAAAAGGACGTAGACTACACCTTCATATTGTCAAAATATCTAAAGTACATGGAAGTAGATTTTGAAAATACGGCACAAGTTTCAGGTAACTAGAAAAAAAGAAATCTAAGAGGAGCAGATTAAAGCAAACCACCAGAGAGAAGGAAAAATGCAGAGCCAGCCCTCTCTTCTTGTAACTTAGGTAAGAGCATGCTGTGGGGCTGTGCCCTGGTGTGCCGCTGAGGCCTGGGTGTCAAATGCTAGGAAGAGGGAAGGCAGCTGAGTCTCCTGCAGTGGTCAATGAAATAAGGAGAAAAAAACTAAAATAAATCTGGAAAGATTTGGAGTTGGGATTATTGGTGTGAATTCTGATTCTCACACACTGGGGGGGGTATCATTATGGATATAATAATTGATGCATATTTCAGGGGGTGCTCAGGGCCCCCACGGGGAGGGGCAGCATGTGGTTTGGTATAGTATGTGGTGTGCTGAGTGACTTGTAATTAAGAGACCTGTTGAATTGTAGGCTGTGTATGCTCCTGGAGTCCATCATCCTTAAGCTGTCACTCATACTTGGGTGGGTTTTTAGTGATGGCTGTCTAGGTTATATGTGCCTCCCATGCCCCTCATCTATATTCGCTGTTGCTTGACTGCCTCGGTAGATCTGCTAGGAGGCCAGCAGCAGTAAGGACCCCGGCACAGATGCTTTCCCAAGTCACAGCCACGTGCTTTCTTGGAGTAAGGATGCCGTCCTCTTCCCTGGTCTGAAGCACATGTCCCTTGGAATATCCTAAGCTCAGAGAATCACACATACCCATGAGGTCATAGCTTATAATATGCCTGTGTGCTACAGGTAATGTGTCTGTGTGTATCCTTCCCAAGAAGTACTACTACTGGTGACCCCACTGCAGCATGTGTTGGAATCAGAAAGTCTGCTTCCCTCCGTAGGGTGAGAGATGCTCTGCTAGGGACCACGGGAGCAGGGTTGCCATGAACGTCTTTCTGTGCGCTTGTGTGTAACATACATGTACCCAGAAGAAAATGAGCAAAGCAGGAAGAGCGGTGACATGGACAATTCATTCTCAGAAAGTTGGTCTTTGAAAAACAGCTCAGACTGGTATCCCTTGACAACACACTAGAACCTTGGCACGAAGAGAGACAATTGTGATGCAAGGAAAGGACCAAGTTGGAGCAGGCCTGAGTCAGGTGAAATCAGTCTGCAGTAACCACAAGGGGGAGGGGGAGAGCATTCAAAACAAAACAAAAACAAAAACAAAAACAAATCCAGGGAAACAGTCTGGGAGAAATGAAGTTAAAAGGATCAAACTTAGCTCCTGAGTGGAAGTGAAAATCCAACGTGCTCCCATTAAAATGACTTCTCATCGGCCATTCCCTTCAGATGACCTCCGCGTCTACTATGCTCTGTGAGCCTCTATGTGTGCCTTTATATGTACCCTTAGGGACGGGGGAAGAACCCTACCCAGAGGAGCTGGGGCACGTGTTGCATTGGGGAGGGCCCTGCTGGATTTGACCCATGAAGGACCCCAAAGAGGTAACATACATGTACTTCCTGAGCAGTCAGTCCAGGGCCTCTGTGACATCAGTGAGTAAAAGTGAAAATGACCCTCCATGTACCAGTGAGCACTTTTCAGATGGGTGTAACTGTGAGCAGAGGTACCGAGAGAGACTGCCGTACCGGGGACACCAATTTAGATTCAGGACATGGGAAGAAAGATCATAAAGGACAAAGGTGTTGAGTGACCCGACTGAAATAGGTCACTTAATAAAAGGAAGCTGTTGAGGGAAAGGAGGCCGCACAGGAGCCTGCAGCGCTTCTCGTCTCCGTGTGTCAGGCAGATCTTCCCATCCTGTCTCTTACCATTAAGCGATCCTAAATAAGTCACTGTATTTTGTTTAAGATTTATTTTTATTGGGGTGGGGGAGGGGGAACGCACGCCTTTAATCCCAGCACTTTGGAGGCAGAGGCAGGTGTAGCTCTGTGAGTTCGAGGCCAGCCTGGTCTACAGAGTGAGTTCTAGGACAGCCAGGAGTGTTATATAGAAAAACCTTGTCTCAGAATACAAAAAGATTTATTTTTATGTTATGTGTATGAATGTTTTGCCGGCATGTATGTGCAACAAAGCAGTGCTCTTGGAGGCCAGAAGAGGGCATTAGATCCCCTGAGACTGGAGTTTCAGATAGTTGTGGGCTACCACGTGAATGCTGGGAAATGAGCCAGCGTCCTCTGAAAGAAAAGCAAGTGCTCTTAACTGCTGAGCCATCTCTTCAGCCTCCATTTTTCTTTTAAAATATACCACTCACTGTGTAATCTAGGCTAAATACCTAGTGTGGGACCTGCATAACCCTTGCAACAACCCTATAAGGAAGTAGAGTATTCCTTGTGCTGGTGGGGGAACAGGTAGGTGCTCAGGACGACCTACCAGACGTTAAGCACACTACCACACACTCGTCGTTTATATTTTATAAATGAGCAAGCATAAGAAACTCAGATTACAACTGGGCAGTGGTGACGCACGCCTTTAATCCCAGCACTCAAGAGGCAGAGGCAGGCGGATCTCTGTGAGTTCAAGGTCAGCCTGGTTTACAGAACAAGTTCCAGGATAGCCAAGGCTCTTACACAGAGAAATCTGTCTTGAAAAAAACCAAAGCAAATCAACAAAAGAACCCATATAATAAATATATAGTAACTAGTTACTAGCAGGGTAATAACTATGTATATGTGCATGTGTGCATATATGTACACGTGTGTGCATATATACACATTTGTGCTCTTATGAATGTATATGTTCCTACTATGTGTATGTATATGTTCTCAGTATGGCACCAATATACTTACATACATTCTTGGTATATACTAAAATTTCAAATAACCTAATAGTCAAGTAAGATAGATAAATATTTTCTTCTGCATCACTGTATACTTCTCCTTGGGATGCTACTATGGGCAAATGACTAACTCATGTAAGTCTGTTATCCCTTCTGTAAATGGGATTTTAGAAGAACTGTTTCTACTCTGAATGGCTGTTAACAAGTATTTAATGGGGAATGTATATTAAATACTTAACATATACTAAGTGCAAGATATGCATAGACGCTGCTGTTATCTTTAAATAGTTGAACCAATAATTGAACTATACAGAAAGAGGACAGGCGTCGAGGTTTTGGGGTGGGGGTTAGAAACAGGGTTTCTCTGTGTAGCCTTGGCTGTCTTGAAACTCTGTAGACCAGGCTGGCCTAGAACTCACTGAGATCTGCCTGTCTGTGCCTCCCAAGTGCTGGGATTAAAGGTGTGCGCCACCACCGCCCGGCCAGGCTTTGGTTTTTAAAGGAAGGTTTGCGTTTTTAGTCAGGTAGCCTTAGGACCTGGAACAATGCTCTGCTCCATCCTTCTGCTGTAGTTTTTTTAGGAAGAAAACTTAATGTCAGACCCTTGTTCAGAGTTCTGGGCTCTATGATGCAATTTTAGACACTAAGTTAAAACCCTCCTGTCCTTGGTGGGGAGTAAATTTGAGAGGAAACTTATTAGGAACCCTCCCTAGCTAGCCATAGCAGTGCACACCCTTAATCCCAGGACTCCGGGGGGCAGAGGCAAGGGGATCTCTGAGTTGAAGGCCAGCCTGGTCTCCAGAGCCAATACTGGGCCAGCCAGAACTACATTGGGAGAACCTATCTCAAAGCAAAACAAGCAAAACCCATTCCTAGCCAAGCTGGTAGCAGGTAACTGTGAAATGTGAAGTGAGGCAACTGTCAGTCCCGAGACTGCCTAGGTTACAAGACCCTGCCTCTCAGCTGCAAAAGAACTCTCATTTCCTAAGTGGAGAGGGCCTCACTGTCGCTTGCACTTACTCTCTTCCCTGCAAACACTTTCCTTCCATGTGGCCCACACAGTTCGGAGTGTGCAGATTATGACTCCCTTCCAGAGTTTGAGACCCAGCTACACTTCCAGGGCGTGACAGGATTGCGAAACCTGGGCAACACCTGCTACATGAACGCCATCTTGCAGTGCCTGTGCAACATATCTCCACTGGTGGAGTATTTCCTCTCGGGAAAGTACATCACCGCTCTTCAGAAGTAAGAGACAGTCTTCACTGGGCTCTGCCCCGCCCCCCAACCCCCCCAGGTGGGGCAATGGTGGTGGTGGGACAATGGTGGTGGAAGGACCTGCTGGAGTGCTTGTGAAGGGCTGTGGGAGCCCAGGCACTGTCGGTCCCTCCATGCCACATCAAGGCTGAGCAGAGCAGGGTGGGCGGGCACAACTGATGCATGGACTGGTCCTGTGCTCCTACGACTGAGGCTTGGCTTTCCATTAAACCAGCAGGGAATATTTGCCCCTTGCCCTTCTCTTCTTCCCAGGGACTGCAGTGAGGTCACCACCGCCTTTGCCTACCTGATGACAGACATGTGGCTTGGGGACTCAGACTGCGTCTCACCAGAGATATTTCTGTCGGCTCTTGGCAGCCTTTACCCAGCTTTTCTGAAAAAGACACAGCAAGATGCACAAGAGTTCCTGATTTACGTCCTCAATGAACTTCATGAAGCCCTGAAAAAGGTAAGAAGTAACTGCCTTGAGCTAGGAGATGTGCACCTTTATCAGAAATATCTGCTTGTCTGCGTGTGTGTGTGTGTGTGTGTGTGTGTGTGTGTGTGTGTGTGTGTGTGTGTGTGTTCAATCTGCATGGCCTGCTCTGTACTGAGTAGGGCAGGGCTATGGGTGCTGGGGGTCCTGAGGAAAATGTACAGGTTAAGATTTGTTGCTTGGGGCTGGAGAGATGGCTCAGGGGTTAAGAGCACTGACTGTTCTTCCAGAGGTCCTGAGTTCAATTCCCAGCAACCACATGGTGGCTCAAGGCCATCTGTAATGAGATCCAGTGCCCTCTTCTGGCATGCACTGTATACATGATAAATAAATAAATAAATCTTTTTTTAAAAAAAGATTTGTTGCTTATTGGCTGGTTTGCTTTTTTAACTTAAAAATATATTTTTTTAAATTTTTATTGAATTTGCATGTATGTATGTGTACTTGCTTGCCAGGTTCCCATGGAGGCCAGAAGAGGGCATCAGAGCCCTTGGAACTGGAATTGAGTTACACACACAGTTAAAAGCCACCATGTGGGTGTTGGGAATTGAACCTAAGTCCTCTGGAAGAGCAGTCAGTGTTCTTAACCATTGAACCATCTCTCCACAGCTCCTAAAAATCTTTTTAATATTTATTTTTATTTTATTTTTTTCTGAGACAGTCTTACTATGTTAGGCAGGTATATGACTACTAATCTTCCTGCCTCAGCCCCCTCTCCAGATGCAGGAATTACAGAAGAGATCTGAGATACTCACATCCCAGCTTTCCTTGGCATATGGCAGATGCCCAGTAGCTTAATAGTACTCCAAATTTGCTCAGACCTTCAAGGGACAATAACCCAAATGGTTCAACAGATATCTAGCAGCTCACAAAAGCCTCCAAGACAACCAGAAGGCAAAACCCAGGGCAAACTGACCAGGAGAAATTTACCTTTGTTCAAAACAAAGTGTCGAAATATTCGGTTCTCTGCTAAATTCAGGTACAAAAGTAGCTCACACTGGCTGAAACCAAAGATCAGAATCCTTCTAGGGGCCATGTGAGGCCTGTTAATCTGTCCTCTCCACTGAGGGCCATGTTGTTTGCAAGTGCCTGCCTAGTTTGCCAAGCTTTTAAAGGGTCAAAGCTTTGGCAAGTTCGGTTCAGCCCCCACCTTCTTCAGGAGTACAGTTAGAGACAGTAACTCTGGAGCAGTCTGGCTAGACTGGGAAGAGAAACCAATAAAGAGGAGGTCCAGTGATCCCCAGTTTGGGGTAGTGACATGAGGTATAGGTGTGACTAGGTGGCTAGAAGTGTACATAACTAAGAATCTGTTCAAAGTGAGTCCTGCTCATCACTGACCCATTATTGTTTCTGTGCCTATCTTTCTTAAAAGACAGTCTGATAAGCTGTTGCAACTAACTGGGTTTAATCTCTGTCTGGGAGACTGGCTCCTTCTCCACCCACACCAGGCTTCGTTCAGCGATGAAAGCAGCAATCCAGTTTTTGAAGGACCATTATTTTCAGTATTCTGATAGCCCAAGGGAGGACACAAATGTCTCCCCTTGAAGTATCTTTTCTTCTGCCAGGGCAATTGCTATCATTCTTTAGTTTCATCTAGAAAGGGAAATGGCTCAGTTATCAAATCTCACACATGGCATATGCTGCCAAGGTCTTACTGTTCTGGCTGAATCCAAAATAACTGTTTTCTGGTCAAAAGGTACTATTCTAACAGAAAAAGCAGCCATTCTGTTTTTGCATGGGTTTTGTGGCCACTCGATGACCAAGAGGAATTTGTCCCTTTATTCAGCATTGCCGAAGAAGAGCATATGAGAGAAGGTCTTCTCAAAAATGCTGCCGGAAGGTGATGGCCAGTGAGACGTCAATCATCACCCGGCTGTTTGAAGGACAGCTCAATTACAGCATCACATGTTTAAAGTGTGAGAATTGCACCTACAAGAATGAAGTTTTCACTGTCCTCTCCCTCCCCATCCCATCCGAATATGAGTGCTCCCTTCAGGTAGGGAGTCCCTAGTTCCTGAATAAATGTTCTTGTTTTAAGACAGGTTTTCTTGCTGTGTCATCTAGGCTAGTCTGGGACCCTGGGTCCAAGTAACCCTGCCTGAGTCTCTCAGATATTGGGATTGTAGTCATGGCTGTCATTTCCTACAATTTTAATAGGAGACAGCTATTGTATGCCTTAAAGATATAAACAAAGGAAGTGTGTGAATGACCAGCAATTTTTGGAAAGGCAACCTATGGTTAATAGTTACTGTGAATTTAGTTGTATTTCTAAATGTATTCAAGACAAACCCTCACTTAAAATTATAAATATGGGTGAAGTTCATTCATTCTTGTGAGATGGGGAGTTTGTGATTTCTATGAAGACCTATGACTCACCTCCACACTCTAGTCTAAGAACAGGACTAGCTATAATAGACTCTTAAAAAAAAGAAGTTTATTTTATTATATAGTGTATGCATGTGTGCCTGAATGCATTTATGTGCACCATGTGCATGCTCGGTGCCCAAGAAGGCCACAAGGGGCATCAGAGTCCCTGGAACTGCAGTTCAAACACTTGTGAGCCACCACATGGGGACTGAACCTGGACCCTCTGGAGGAGCAGCCAGTGCTCTTAACCGTTTAGCCATCCCCTCGGCTCCTAAGACTCCAGACTTATACTTTGGATGGAGGCAGTGGGCTGTGTTGGGAAGAGAGAGGAATCTGGTGGCTTAGTAAAGCCTCTCTGATTAACCAGTATGTAATCGGGGAGGGGAGGTTACGTGGCTTTGGTCTAGGAAGGAAGTGGCTGGTTAGGGACAATGAGGAATCGAGGAACACTTTTCTCGCAGAATTTTGCACAAATTTTTCTTTCGTGATTGTGAAGACTTCTGTATATATCGTTGGGGAACACAAATCTATTGGTTTTCATTTGTTTGCCCTTAGATCAAAAGGCTAAAGATTACTGGAAAGAATTCCAGATTCTTGGGGCTGGAGAGATGGCTCAGAGGTTAAGAGCACTGACTGCTCTTCCAGAGGTCCTGAGTTCAATTCCCAGCAACCACATGGTGGCTCACAACCATCTTTTATGAGATCTGGTGCCCTCTTCTGGTGTGCAGATATACATGGAAGCAGAATGTTGTATACATAATAAATAAATAAAATCTTAAAAAAAAAGAATTCCAGATTCTTGAATGGTGCACTGGAGACAGTTTGTACCCCTCCTCCTCTAAGCTAAGAAATTGCAAAAGCAGGGCCTGGCTAGAGATGTCATCTCCTCTGGGATGCACTATAATTCATCTACTGTGAATTGTCACCCCAAACCATGAGATAGGATCCATTTTCAGATGCCTACCCCTTGTTGAGTCAGCAGATTTATAATAGAAAACAGCTGTCTTGATTAGTTAGTCTGTATTATTCTGAAATAAACCAGCAAAGTTAAAATTCATAGATTATTAGTGGGAGAAGAACCTAAGCCCATGTTAGCAGCTTGGTGAAAAAGCATCACTTGTTGCTAGGCAGATTTTTATTTATTATTCTTGAGACATGGTCTCACTGTACAGCCCTGGCTGGCCTGGAACTTGGTATGTAGACCAAGCTAGCCTTGGACTTGAAGAGTTCCTCCTGAATCTGGATTAAAGGTGTGAGCCACCAGCCCCAGCTAGGTAGATTTTACAGGACTGTGGTGATGGGTCATGACTCTTGGGTCTGTTCCTTAGGAAAACTTCCAGAAGCACATTTACAAAGCTCTTTCAAAGTTTTATGTGCTTGAAAGACAGGGTCTCCTTGTATTGCAAGGCTGGTCTTAAACCCACAATCCTCCTTCCTCTGCCTCCAACGTCAGCAGGGTCCCAGGTCACCAGATGTTCTTTCTCCCCCAACAGGACTGTCTCCAGTGTTTTTTCCAACAAGACACATTGACCTGGAACAACCAAATCCATTGTTCCTTTTGTGAAATCAAGCAAGAAACAGCTGTGAGAGCCACTATTTCCAAGGCACCAAAAATAATTGTTTTTCACTTAAAAAGGTATGTGGATTTTGACATCTGGTGGGCAGATGGTTTTCAACAGTTTTACTGAGATGTCATTCACATGCTAATAGTCTATCCATTTAATATGTAGCTTATCTTAAAATCAATGGCAAAATGGGTGCTTTGCTGCAAAGGATCCTGGGTTTAGTCCTCAGTGTCAGAGAAGTGAAAAATAAAGTGTCCAATCTATGTACTGCATTGGATTTCAATTTAATATGTAATTTCTTTTAAATTTTGTAATAAAATGTATGCAATGTAAAATCTATCAATTTGATCATTTCAAGTGTGTAATCCATTTGCATTTATTATCTTTACAATGTTAAATGTCAATCACCACAATTTCCAGAACTTTTCAATACCAAACAGAAGCCCTGTCCACTCAGCAACACCTTCACGTTCTCCCTCTCCCTTGTTCCTACTTTTCTAATGTATTTTCTATCTGTGTAGAGTGACTGTGCCAGCTAGTTTTATGTCATCTTGACAAGCTATAGTCATCTGAGAGGAGGGACTCTCAATGGAGAAAATGCCTCCATAACACTCAGGCTGCAGGCAAGCCTGTAGGGCATTTTCTTTTTTTATGATTTTTAAATAATTTATTATGTACAAAGTGTTCAGCCTGCATGTATACCTGCACTCCAGAAGAGGGCACCAGATATCATTACAGATGGTTGTGAGCCACCACGTGGTTGCTGGGAATTGAACTCAGGACCTCTAAGGAGGGGCAGCCCATGCCATTAACCTCTGAGCCATCTCTCCAGCCCAGGGCATTTTCTTAATTAGTGATTGAGAATCGAGGGGCCAGCCTATTGTGGGTGGTGCTGCTTCAGCATCCTGGGTACAATAAGAAAGCAGGCTGAGCAAACCATGAAGTGCAAGCCAGTAAGCAGCCCTCCTCCATGGCCTCTGCATCAGCTCCTGCCTCCAGGTTCCTGCCCTGTGTGTTTGGGTTCCTGTCCTGACTTCCTTCCATGATGAACGGAGAAAGGTGAGCCAAGGAAACCCTCTCCTCCCCAGTTGCTTTGGTCACGATGTTTCATCAGAGCAATAGTAACCCTAAGATATCTTCGTACCAGGATAGTGGGGTATTACTGTGACAGACTTGATCAAGTTGGGTTGGGGAGGATTGTGGAAGGACTTTGGAACTTTGGGCTAGAAAAGCCAGTGAGTGTTGAGAGCTCAGTGGGCTGTTCTGTAGGATTTTTGGAAGATAAGAGTGTTGAGAGCACTGGAGACCACAGAGACCTGGCTTGTGAAGTTCCAGAGGGAAGTTTGAGAGCTATTTAAAAACTGCCAGGGCTATTGTATATTTGTGGTTCTGGTCAGCTGGGACTGAAAAATCAGCTGTGATTAACAAGATCTGGGGCCCCTGCAATGGAACCTCTGCTTACTGTGACAATTGATGATTGGCTGGAAGTGAGGAATAAAGTGTGCTGAAAGAGACCAGTGGCACTGGGTAAAAGGAGCAGTGTTTCCTTAGAGTCAGCGTGCAGACGCTGTGTTCCACAGGAGGTCAGGGTTGTACCTTGAACTGGCAGGTGAACTTGGTTGTGTGTAGAGTCTCCCATGTGATACTGTTTTTGAAGCCATGAAGGGGTCATGGAGGACAGATGAGGTTTAGTGCTACAGGAGGCCAGGAGAGGCCATTGGTGAAGAAGGTGCAGCCTCAGTAGCAACTGAAGTCCAGGGATTGAAGGGGTCGGGTGAGAAGTCTGTAATGTGTTTTATATTGTGATATCAATATGAGATGCTGGCAACAACAAGAAGGAAAAGGTTATGTTTAGTAAGTGATGTGTTTGTCTGTCAAATTGACAAGGATTAATTGTACCAGTTAGTTTTTATATCAACTTGACACATGCTAGAGTCATCTGAGAGGAGAGAGCCTCAATTAGGGAAATGCCCCCCCAAAGATCAGGCTGTAGGCAAGTTTGTAGGGCATTTCTTTCTTTCCTTTTCTTTGTTTTTCGAGACAGGGTTTCTCTGTGTAGCCCTGGCTGTCCTGGAACTCATTCTGTGGACCAGGCTGGCCTTGAACTCACAGAGATCTGCCTGCCTCTGCCTCCTGAGTGCTGGGATTAAAGCCCTGTGAGCTGCCACAACACCTGCAGGACATTTTCTTAATCAGTGATTAAGCTCCTGCCTCCAGGTTCCTGCCTTGACTTCCTTCCACGATGAACTGTTAATATGGAAGGATGAGCCAAGTACACCCTTTCCTCCCCAGTTGCTTTGGTGACATCACCCACAGTGGCTACCCAGAGAAACTCTGTTTTGAAAAACAAAAACAAACAACAGCAACAAAACAAGACAGCAATGCACACAGTTCGTCCTTTTTGTCTGGTAGGCTTCACTTAGCATACATTTTGTATTTTATTTGAAGGAGCTCATGTAGCTCAGACTGAGTTGCACTGTCTTCTATCTCCCTCTCCTGCATTCTAAGATTACAGGCTGCAGCCACTACACCTGGTCTGCCTAGCAGAACGTTTTGTAAGGTTTGTCCATGTGTAGCCTACATTCTTGTGGTTGAATAACATTCTACCGGGTGTCCCTGTCTTATTTCTTCATCTAGTGAGAGACACTTGGGTTGTTTCTACCTTTGAGTGACTATGAATAGCCGCAGTTAACACTGTATCCAGCTTCTGCGTTCTGTTCCTCTAAGAATGGGATCCTGTGAGAACAGCCCGTGGTTTCCATCCTGGCTGCACCCATTTACTTCTCTCAGGCTAAACACTAGGACTCAAAGTTCTCCCTTTCCCAATATTGGAAATTTCCCTTTTTGTTTTGTTTTTCAAGACAGGGTTCCTCTGTGTAGTCACTGCTGTCCTGGCACTCACTCTGTAGACCAGCTGTCTTCAAACTCGGAGATCTGCCTGCCTCTGCCTCCCAAGTGCCGAGATTAAAGGCGTGCGATACAACCAATGACTCTTGTTGGCTTTTGATAATGAACTTGAACAGAACCTAGAGGCAGCAACTGAAGCAGAGGCCATGGAGGAGTGCTGCTTTCACTGGCTTGCTCCTCCTGGCTTGCTCAGCCTGCTTTCTCATAGAGCCCGGGGTCACCAGTCCAGAAGTGGCACTACCCACAAAGGACTGGGTCCTCCCCATCAATCACTAATATAAATGAGACAGCATTTAACTCGCTCACTCATATTATGTAATATGTTAGTAAAATATGTTTCTTAGAAATAAAGTTGGAAGCCAGAGAGATAATTTGGTAGGTATCCCCTGATGACCTAAGTTTGACCTTTGGGATTCACACGATGGAAGCAGGAGAGAACTAGCTCTTGTAAGGTGCCTTCTGACCTCCACATGTGTGTGTTGGCACACAGTCCCTTCAAACCATAAAGAGCTTTAGCATTGAGTTTTTTACTATTAAGATACATTTACAGAAGGGCTGGAGAGATGGTGCAGCAGTTAAGAGCACTTGCTGCTCTTGTACATGGCCAGGGTTTGGTTCCATCATGGCCTACCATCTGTTAACTCCAGTTCCAGGGAATCCAAGGCCCTATTCTGATCTCCAGAAGCAACAGGCACTTGTGTGGTGTACACATACACAAGGACAAAACACTTATGTACATAAAACTTTAAAGTAAACGAATTTTTTTTTTTTTTTGGTTTTTCGAGACAGGGTTTCTCTGTGGCTTTGGAGGCTGTCCTGGAACTAGCTCTTATAGACCAGGCTGGTCTCGACCTCACAGAAATCCCCCTGCCTCTGCCTCCCGAGTGCTGGGATTAAAGGCGTGCGCCACCAATGGCCAGCTGTAAACGAATTTCTTAAAGATGTATTTACACATATAAATGTATTTTGTCTATGAAATTATACAAATGCATATAATGCATATAATCATGTATGTTGCAACCCATGTATGGACAATACCTGTCATTTCAGAAAATTCTCTGACGGTCCTTTACCACCGTTCTCTCCCTTTGCCATAAGCACAGGGATTACTTAAAAATATGTGCATGCCTATGTGTGAGGTCTCCAATTTCGATCATACAGTTAGCTTGTTCTGGGGTCTCCGCCTCTGAGAGTTGAGGTTACAGGAGGGCCATGTGCTTCCCGGCATTGACATGGGTGCCGGGCATCTAAACTCAGCTTGCATGACAACCATCTTTACCTGTGACCCATCCCCACAGCCCACCCCAGCGAATTACTAATGTTTTCTGTCTCTATGGTTTTGTGTTTCTTAGACCACCCAACACCATGCTACTTTAGCCTTTTGAGTTTGGTTCCTTTCACTTGACATAATGCTTTTTAGGTGGCCTGTGTATATATGCGGCAGGTCCTTGTCGTTGCTGTTTTGGTCCTTTGTGTACAATTATTTCACCATTAGCCCGCTGGTAGATATTGGTCTTGTTTTCATTCTGGGCAAATGGAAATAAAGTCACCATATTGTGTAGCATGAACATCCAGTCTATAAAACTCTTCATGTTTCCTGACTAGGCCAGGTCACAGGGTGTCTTAGGGTTTCTATCACTGTGAAGAGACACCAGGACCACAGCAACTCTCATAAAGGAAAACATTTAATTGGGGTCGGCTTACAGTTCAGAGGGTTAGTCCATCATCATTGATGCTATTTTGAAAATCCCTGGTTGTGGGTTTCTCTGCCGATTCCAAACCCAGCTGAATTAATGAGACCAGGTTTAATAAACAGCAAAGCAAAGGAAAGCTGGGCACTCACGGGTGACTCTTGGAAACTGGAGGAGGAGAAATCTCGGTCCAGGGGTCTTGAGCATCTCAGGGGGAGCAGCTTTCTGAGTGGCAGGGTTTGGAGGGGGGTGGGCTCAGGCAACCTTTCCATCTAAACAATCATCATGACAGGAAGCAGGGTGGCATGCAGGCAGACATGGTGCTGGAGAGGTAGCCAAGAATTCTACATCTGGATGCACAGGCAGTAGACAGAGTGCCACTGGGTCTGGCTTTAGTGGCTGAGACCTCAAAGCCCACCCCAGTGACACTTCTTCAGCAAGGTCACACCTACCTCAACAAGTGCCTCCAAACAGTGCCACTCCCTATGGGCCTGTAGGGGCCATTTTCATTCAAACCACCACACAGGGTATACTCTTAGTTTTGGAGAGTGGAGTTTCTTGCTTTGTGGCCCAAGAATGGCCCATCTCTAGTCAGTTCTCCTGCCTCATACCTAAATAGGCATATTTTCTGGGGGAACATTTTTTTAAAGGTTCTGAATGATCCTGATAAGAGCTTAGATTTGGTGACTTCTGTTTTGAAAGATTTGAACAGAATTTCTTATAAAACAGATGGAGAACTCAGTTTTGAAACTAGATGCTAACATTGCCAACATTAAGACAGGAGCCAGGTGTGGTGGTGCATGCCTTTAATCCCAGCATTCTGAGGGACACAGCAGATCTATATGAGTCTGAGGCCAGCCTGGACTACACAGTTCCCGACCAGCCAAGGCTACATAGTGAGACTCTAGGGAGGGGGGTGGGAAGACAAAGAAGGAGGAGGAGGAGGAGAGAGAGAGGCAAGGAGGAGAAGAGAGAGCTAAGAGAAGAAGTGGAGGTGATTTGACTCGGGCCTCTGCCACGTCTGATGTGCTGGCCTCCAGGCAGACGCTTGCCTTGCTGTCTCTGCACCAGGCAGGGTATCCTGAAGTCTACATTGTCTCTTGCTGACTCACTTTGGTGAGGCTGATGGGTCTGGCATTTCTAAATATATTTCAATAAGGATGTAATTTATATACCAGACAATCATTTCAAAGGTTACTCTAACTGCATGTGTCTAGGGACGTGGACCTCACTCACGAGGGACTTCCACACTTACTTTCAATTTCACGCATTTGTTATTTCTCCAGGTTTGACATCCAGGGCTCCGTGAAGAGGAAGCTGAGGACAGACATCCGGTACCCACTCACCAACCTGGACATCACTCCTTACATCTGTCCAGTTTTCCGGAAGCATCCTAAGTACAACCTCTGTGCAGTGGTGGTGAGTTTACCAGTAAAACTTGCAATCCTAAAGGGATAGAGGTGGCTACTGCAGAGCTCTGAGTCTTGGTCACATGGACTCCTAGAGGTCAGGCCCATGTTAATAGCTTGCCTTGTGTAATCATGAGGCACTTTGTAGCCAGCCCCCACACACTAGGCACTTAACAGTCCCAGGACCCCACGCCTGGCTGAAGCCTGTCCCAGGGGCTCCCTTCGGCTCTCAGTCAGCTATGATCGGTGCCAAGTCCTAGCAAAGGAAGAAGTACAGTTCACACCCACTCTCCAGAATCTCCTGCATGAACCAACCTGAGCATCGAGCCATTCTCTGGGCTCCTGGATCGTGGTATGAGCTGTTGCTTCAGATGGTGAGGGTCCTTCCACAGTGCAGTCCTGTCACAGGAGCCTCTGATATGCTGAAATTGATCCTGCCAGTTCATCTATTGCTCAGTAGTATAGTAAAAAATGAAGCCAAGTGTGGTGTTGTACCCCGCCAGCACTCAGGAAGCAGAGGCAAACAGATCTCTGATTTCAGGGTCAGCCTGGTCTATGAAGTGAGTTCCAGGACAGCTAGGGCTACATACCTTGCCTTAAAAATATTAAAGTAAAAAGAGGGGAGGGGATTATGTCTAGTCCTCCACATTCCATGGTTCAGAACTACTCTTGGATTTGCACAGTGCTCACATCTTTTTTTTTTTTTTCTTTTTTTTGAGACAGGGTTTCTCTGTATTGCTTTGGAGCCTGTCTGGAACTCGCTCTGTAGGCCAGGCTGGCCTCAAACTCACAGAGATCCTCCTGTCTCTGCCTCCAGAGTGCCAGGACTAAAGGTGTGTGCTGCCACTGCCCGGCCAATGCTCACTTCTTACTCCCCTGTAGGCCGTCTGTTTCCTTTATGCTGGCTTTTTTCTTTCTCCCATCAGATGCAGATGCTAATTAATGTGAGTTTCAAAGGTGCTGCGTCCTAAACTTCCGTTTCTGATTCTGGAAAATCTTTTTTTTTTTTTCTTTCAAATGTACATTGGGGTTTTGCTTGCATGTTTGTCTGTGTGAAATTGCCATATACTCTGGAACTGGAATTACAGTTTTGAACTGCCATGTGGGTTCATGGTAATTAAACCTTTGGTCCTCTGGAAGAGTGCCAGAGTGACCAGTGCTCTTAACTGCTAGCCATTTCTCCAGCCCCTCATCGATGAGTTTTACCCCCAGGTTTCTCATTTATTTTACCCTTACCTAACCTGTGTACCAGGCACTGTTCAGATCTCTGTGTAATCCTTGCACCATTACAGCCCTGTCTTTTGAGAAATATCTACTTAGGCCCGTTACTTGCTTTTTAGGTTAGTGTTTCTTGCTCAAGTTGTTATCGTACCTATTTTGTACACACACACACACACACACACACACACACACACACACAC